GTACCATTCTGGTCTCCACACCTCAGAAAGGTTATTGCAGAGCTCAGAAAGGTGCAGAAAGGGGGGTAGGGAAATCACCATTACTTAGGAAGGAGATTTTTAATTTTTAATATAAATGGTTCTTTAAAATGCACATTGCAAACACATTCCTAAGAGAGGCCTTCCTCCCTGTATGGGAGAGAAATAAGACTGGTTCTACTACGAAGATGCCTTCTTTGGCAAATGCCTGCTTAATGTAAAGATGAAATTTGTACACTGCCCTAGAATCTTTTGGAAAAGGGTGATTGAAAATATTTTATTTTATTTAAAATATTTATTAATCACAAACTAAAGCATGTTTTCTTATTTATAATAATTGTTTTTCTCATATGCAATTTTGTATAAATTTAATCAAATAATTGATAATATGATTAACCTGTCTTAAGATTTATTTAACAGATTGACAGCCCTAAATGAAACTTACTAAAGGCTTCTCCAGATAAATAAAGGTTGTTATTTTTTAAATTACAACGTCATCAAACAAATTATGCATGAAACATCTGATATCAAACTAGCTTATACCCTTTTACAATAAACAGTTCCTTAGAAGAGTTATTTTTAAAAATAAAAACTGTTATATATATATAGCACATGCATGCTTTAGGATAGTGCTTGTAAATTATTTGCAACAAAAAATGTTATGCTTAAAATATTTATTAAGCCCCTGAAGCAATAGCTTCTTTTGAGGCAGCAAGTTTGTTAATTTAAAAAGGCCTCATCTTCTGCAAAAAGAGGAATTTGGTGTGAAAACTCTCTTTAAGAAGTGTTTCCATGTTATCTCCTACACAACTGTGTCAACAATTCCACCAGCTGGCACCGTTTGGCTTTTTATTTACATTTGTCCTGGGTTAACCTAGGTCAGGGGTTCCCAAACTGTGGCCAGCAGGCTTCATTCAGGTGGTCCTAAGCAGATCTGTAAAAAATACAATTAAAATCATACATCTAGCACAGCACTTTACAATTGCTACCAAAGGCAGAAGAATTAGTAGGTGGTCAACCAAGACCCTCAGCAATTTTCAAGAGGTTCATGGGGAATGAAAGTTCAGGCATCACTGATCTAGGAGGTTCTGGTGTTAAATATTAATATTCTGAGGAATATTATTAATATTATGCGGATTCCAAGTGTTAATTTCTACCATGTTTGGGGCAGGACACCTGGATCTGATATTTTGCACTGATTTAAAATAATCCCAATAGGTAGATCAGGTAAGGACCCCTGGATGGTTAAGTCCAGTCAAAGGCGACTATGGGTTAGCGGCACTCATTTCACTTTCAGGCCAAGGGAGCCGGCGTTTGTCCACAGACAGCTTTCTGGGTCATGTCGCCAGCGTGACTAAACCGCTTCTGGTGCAACAGAACACCGTGACAGAAACTAGAGTGCACAGAAACGCTGTTTACCTTCCCACCGCAGCGGTACCTATTTATCTACTTGCACTGACGTGCTTTCAAACTGCTAGGTTGGCAGGAGTTGGGACCGAGCAACGGGAGCTCACCCCATCGTGGGGATTCAAACTGCCAACCTTCTGATTGGCAAGTCCAAGAGGCTCAGTGGTTTAGACCACAGTGCCACCCATGTCCCTATATAATCCCAATATAAGTGGTATGAAAATGACAGAAATGACATAGTTAGATAATTACTCTTTGAAGGTTAATATATGCCCCTAGTGACCTACTTGGTTCTTCTCCAGAAGACTTATATCTGCTGACATTAGGGAGAATTCTTTGAAGGCTTCAAAGAATTCTGGGTTTCAATCCCAGTCCAGCTAGCTCATATTGTAAGATCTGTTTCCCCCTTTAGCTGGCAGGGTTGTAAGGTGCAGCCTGGAAAATGGGAAAGGAAGTGTTGTTTTCCTTTTCCCCACCTAAAACCTACTTGTTGAGGCAGAAAATTTTAAACCTCATAAGATACTAAGGTGTTAGCGGCTCAAACAATTCTGTTTCGATCCCACTCCCCTATGTCCATCCCCCCCACAGTCCATGACATTCCACAGGTCTCAGAAGCTCACAGGTCAGGTCATTTGGGACATTTAAAAATATTTTTCTTTTTAATTTAAAAACTAATATACTTCTGCATACCAGGGGAATTCTCCTGAGTATGAAGAAACCACTATCTTATTTCTGTTTCATTTTCAAACTATTAGGTACTGGGCCACCCAGGTTTGGCATCACAGGAAATTAGATTCTAATAACTATAAAATACTACTGATACTTGTCAAGTGGTCACACACATCCTGTACACAATACATTGACCCATTAGATGGTTTGTAACAGAAGCGATTCAGAATATAGAGTGCATCAACTGGCCAGAAGCAGAGGTTTTCCTGAGGAATAAGTAAATACGGTGTGAAACATGGAATGAGAGTTTGTCACTAAATGACACCTCTTTGTTCCAGACCCTTTCCTAGCTGGAATTTGTTTTTTTATTGTTTAGCCATTACAAAAACCTTAGAAAAACATTTATTAAAATAATATCAAGCAATAAATGACATTAAGATAAACTGCTTGTGTAAAAAATGCTGCATATATTTGCATAAAGTTAGAAGGAAAGCCCCATCGCACCACCCAGCGTGGCGGGAGGGATCCTTTCCAGATCCCCTCTCCCAAGTTTGCCCTCCCATCACGGGGGCAGCAGCAGGGTGTTTTGCCTTGCATGCTGAAGCGCCTTGTCACCCCTGTCTGTTAACTTCTGTGAGTCTGCCAGCACTGGATACAACCCAAAGAAACCTGTGGCCCTGCAGAGGTTGTTGGAGTCCAGCATGGACAATGGTCAGGGAAGAAAGAAGTTGTAGTCTAGCAACATCTGGAGGACCACAGGTGGTTGTTGTTGTTGTTATTATTATTATTATTATTATTATTATTATTATTATTATTAATTGAATTTATATACCACCCGGGGGTCTCAGGGTGGTTCGCAGAATAAAATCAAGATATAAATACCTAATAAAAATAAAAACAGCAACCTAATACCCCACCCCAAAAAAACACATTTTAAATGAGCATAGGATGTAAATCGGATCAACCAAAGGCCTGGTTAAAAAGGAATGTTTTTGTCTGACACCGAAAAGTGTATAATGAAGGCGCCAGGCGAACTTCCCTGAGGAGAGCATTCCACAGATGGAGAGCCACTGCAGAAAAGGCCTGTTCTCGTGTTGCCACCCTCCACATTTCTCAAGGAGGAGGCACACGAAGGAGGGCCTCAGAAGGTGATCTCAGGGTCTGGGTAGGTTCATATGGAAAGAGGTGGTCCTTGAGGTATTGCAGTCCTGAGCCGTTTAAGGCTTTATAGGTCAAAACAGGTTCTCCACTTCTGCTTTAAAGAAAGTAACCAACTAAATACCAGCACTTCTGGATCTGAAGGTGACTTGCAGAAAGGCACTCCTGCTCGCACAAGGCAGCCTTCTTGAATTCTAGCAACCCCCTTCTCCTGCTGCAGCCAACTCTCCCTGCCCCCATTCCCTTATTCCAATTAATACTTTTTTTGTCAGAGGACATTCTGGTATGCCCCTATTCCGATGCTTTGGACTAAAGATGTTTTGGTGCCCTCCAGATGTTTTGAACTACAGGGCTGGGGGTGGCTGCTCTCTACGGCTTGGTAGCCTTGAGCAGGTCTGTTCAGCGCCTGCTCAAACTCCAGTGATGTTGATTCCCTATCTAATTTCTACCATTTGCCTCTAGCCTTCCTCCCTAGAGCTTCAGGATCACTTTGATGCTCTCAGCTTCTGGACATTTGCCAGCCTAGTGTACAACGTAGGTATGCATGGTATTGAGATTGCATTTGTTGCTTTTATCAATTATCTTCCCACAGAAATTGATGGAGGCAACTGTACCTTATTGATCCTGTTCCATCTTCCAGCAGCATTTGTTGTCATTGATCAGGAGTTGTTGATGACATGAGACATAGTTCATATTTACGGGATCACTCTGAAGTGGTTCTACCTGTTTCATGCTTGAAGATTTTAAAAGGTTATGATAGGTATTTCCTTATTGTTGTCTCTGGGGTTTCCTTATGGCGCTGCAGCATTTTATCTACTCAATATTATATGAATATAATACAATATTTTAGCATTATTATATTATATTATATTATATTATATTATATTATTATTATACAGTGGTACCTCAGGTTAAGTACTTAATTCATTCCGGAGGTCCGTACTTAACCTGAAACTGTTCTTAACCTGAAGCACCACTTTAGCCAATGGGGCCTCCTGCTGCTGCTGCTGCTGCACCGCCGGAGCATGATTTCTGTTCTCATCCTGAAGCAAAGTTCTTAACCTGAGGTACTATTTCTGGGTTAGCAGAGTCTGTAACCTGGAGCGTATGTAACTTGAAGTGTATGTAACCCGAGGTACCACTGTATTATATTTATTATATTATATTTTAGCATTTTATCTACTCAATATTATATGAATGAGTGGAATACTAGAATTCTGATTTAAATAGAGGGCAAATCCAATTTCCTAGGAATACATATACTAGGTACTTATGACATCACCTGGATTATACTAAAAAGGACATGTAAAACATCTTCTAGAAAGACCTAAATAGTAGGTACTTTGGGGAGCTACTGTAGTATTAAGACTGTGATATACGAACTGGTTTAAATCTTGCCCTAACCCTGCTAATTAAGTAGCTGTTGTCTCTCAGGCCTTTTCACCCAGAGATGGTAATACTGAAGTACACAAGGCCATAAAGGTTATTGAGATAATGAATGTGAATCTGGTCTGGAAGGCTAGTGCAAACCATGGTTTCCCAGTTTGGGCGGAATGGCAAATTATGGTTTGCCACAAACCATGAAATAACCCATGAAAGATGCAAGTCTATGTTCACTTACTCGAGGAAATTCCCAGTGAACAAAATAGGACTTCATCCCAATTAAACATGTAAAAGATCAGGATGTCGTCAGAATGCACAATGGAAGGTGGAGCAAGCAGAGAAGAACAGAACATCGGGCACTAAAATATGGTGTATTCATGCCATTTATTAAATTTATGTGACCACCTTTAAAAAAAAAGTCTCTGGATGGCTTACAAACAAGACAATATTAATCACTGAAAGACAGAAAACAACTTTCCCTTATAACAGAGACAGTATGACCAGTTTAAAACTCATATTAAAAGCACACTAAGCCACAGGCTTGTCATGCATCCCTTAACCTAGCCTACTGCACTCAGGTGCACATGGGGACATTATCCTGTTGCCTGGATTGAAGTAAGATTCAACTTCTGGTCCAGTCTCTACATGGAAGGTGAGGTGGTGCTGCGATCTTGTCCTTTGCCTCAGGCGGCAAAATGTCTTGGGCAATTTTGAGCTTATTTCACTTTCCAAAATGTGATAAGTCAGTATTGATTGAATGACTAACATCAACAAGTGAATCACCAAATGCGGTCGTCATGGGGAGCCAGCACCACAAATGAAAAAAGCACGGCTGAGACATGAGGAATCGAAGAGCGATTAGGTGGCACTGTCTCTCAAGCCATTCATTCGCTGACCATTCACCAGCATTTGACTGCAGGAGGACAACAGTTGAGGCTGCTGGCATTGTGACTGTCGTTATCAAAATTAGTTAAACACTTGTTCAGCAGGCTGCATCCTCTTGTCACTGATTGAGATTTTTCCTGCTATCATTCATGCTCTGATAACATCTCATGTAGATTGCTTGCAATAGCAACAAAGAGTTTTGTGTCACCTTAAAGACTATCAATTTTTGTTATGCTATAAGGTTTCACAGACTACATTCCATTTTAGTTGGACGAACCACAGTTGACTCGTCCTTTCATGCCTGGATGCAGTGATATTTTTTTTGCCACAATAAATGAGCTTTATTTTTATTTTTCTGCACTTCTACAAAAAGATGGGCAGTGTTAAAAAAATCTTGCCTCTTGACCCTAAAGATTTGCCAGACATAAGATGGGAGGCTCTTGCCAAAGCTACCTCAGCTATTAGTGGAAGTTATGCTTACATTGTTGAAGCCCTGGGTTGTATTTACTGTGATGAAACTAAAAAAGGTGATAATAGACAATAGGCTAAAATTTTCTTTAGAAAATGGAAGAATTTGAATTCATCTTCATGCTTCATTTTTGGACACATTTGCTAGAACAATTTCATAAAGTTAGCAAGTCACTCAGAACTTCACAAATTTCATTTGAGCACATGTGCAAATATTTACAGTTCACTGTTACAGTTTGTATCAAACACTCAGGCTAATTTTGATGAAATTTAACAGCAAGCCAAATTTACTCTACCGGATGTAGGGTACAAAACTGTCAAAAGAATACAAAGAATAAAAAAATAAAAAATGATGAGACAGCACCCGAAACCTTGGACGAACTTTCTGCAAGAGACCAGTTTAGGGAAAATTCATTTATCCCTGTCATGGATGCTCTTGAAGCCAACCTAGACAGAGGAGCAACAGTGTACAGGAGTATAGCTGGCAATTTTTCATTTTTCGTGAACCTGCAAGCAACCACAGAAGATATTCACAATGACGCTGAGATGTTGATGCATTCATAGGATGTTGACCTTAGTCTAGTTCAGTGTTTCCCAACCTTGTGCCTCCAGCTGTTTTTGGCCTACAATTCCCATCATCCCTTGCCACTGGTCTTGCTAGTCAGGGATGATGGGAGTTGTAGTTCAAAAACAGCTGGAGGCACAAGGTTGGGAAACACTGGCTCTAGTTGATGAATTCTTGCACTTCCACCTGTACGTCACACAAGCTCACCCTGAAAAAGCAAATTTCAGCCACCTAGATATGTATCAAATAATATTCCAGGAGAAAATTTGGACAGCTGTTCTAAATGTGGAAACAATTATCAGGTTGCTCCTTTGTTTAATGGTTACAAACTGTAATGGCAAAAGATAATTTTATAGACTAAAAAGGATAAAGAATGTTCTATGGTCAACAATGTGCTAGGATTGGTCATGTGATCTAAGCATTTCACGCATAGAAAATGATAAAACTGTGACTTACTGATTTTAATGATACAATTGATAAGTTTGCATCCAAAAGAGGTCAAAAGATATTGCTCTGACTTTTTATATAGTGTAATGTTATAACATAGCTACAATTCCCCTATGAATGTTCTGTGTGGATATCTTCATTAATTCCATACTTTTGTAACCTTATTTAAGGCTATAAATTTATAAACAATCTTTTTGTCAATGCTAAAATTTCTGCAATGCCCTACGTTCATTGAGTAGGCAAAGAAGAGAACGGGGTTCTGTTTCTCGTGATCGTATGCTATTAAGTTAGCATACTCCCAGGGTCTCCTAGCCCAGGGCTTCCAATTGCTTTAAACCTGGGAGCTCTAGGTAGCAAAATGTAGTATTCTGGATCTCCTGGGTATCAGTGAGTAGAACTAAGGTTGGCATATTTCAAACAGTGAAAAACTGGACAGAAAAGTTGTTGATTTTTTTTTAGTTTTGCCCAAAGTTTTGAGGGGTTTTTTGTTGCAAAATAATGCTATTTCTGAGCTATTTTTAATGGAAATTTGGCAAAAATGGCACTGCCAACATGGGCTGCCATACGTCCAGACATCTGTTGCTGACTGCACTATTCTAGATTTGTCCGGGAAATTCCAGATGTATGGCAACCCTAATAGAGCACCTTTTTACTAGCTATGGCTGGTGTAACAGCTGCAGCCATTCCTGGACAGAGGTAGGTGAGCCAAAGTGGTTCAGGCATTGGTAACACTCAATCACATTATCACAAAGCAATCTGTGTAGGGCTACCCTGAAAGCTGGTCTGGAAGCTGCAGCTGGTGCAAAAGGCAGCAGCCCAGCTATTTACCAAAGCTGGTTACTGATAGCATGCTGGCATCATTGCTGAAAAACCAGCACACACTTAATACGTTAGTGTTAGTTTATACATTCCTAAGCAAGTTGGGACCAGCCTACCCAAAGGGCCTCCTTTCTCCATATATTTTGGCCCATTACTTGAGATCTGCTGGAGAAGGATTGCTGACTTTCCTTTAGTGGTTCTCAACCTGTGGATCCCCAGGTGTTGTTGGACTACAACTCCCATCATCCCTGAGCTCTGGCCTTGCTGGCTAGGGGTGATGGGAGTTGTAGTCCCAAAACATCTGGTGACCCACAGGTTGAGAAAGGCTGCCAGGTGAGTTTAGAACATCTGTCTGGTGGCCACAGAGAACAGGGCACTCAGCGCAATAACACCTATATTGTGGAATCAGTTGCCCTTGTATACTGGGCAAGCATCCTTTGCCCCTAGTTTTAGAAACCAGCTTAAAACATGTTTTTTTCTATCATCCCCATCAATTTACTATGGTCAACAGACCACAAATAAGACCAAAAATAAAACCATACAATGCAACATAATTTTAAGTACAGGGCAAAATACAAAATGAGGTATAATACAAATGCCATCAGCTCAGATATATGTATGAACAAGATGAGCAATGAACTAAGGAGCACTCCAAAAGATTTAATGTGTTTGCCTTCTCGATTGCTTTTGGGGAAGATATGGTGGGGCTTGTCCTCATCATGACCAGGGTGTGGAATCCATGGAACATGCTCTTTTATTTTATAATTTTTACACTGGAGCGTGTCAGAAAATGATACCCAAACTACCAGGAAGGTTAGCTCAATGTTACAATAAAATACTTGCTGGGAGATAAAATCCCATTGGTAGTGGCCACATTTTTTATCAGTGGCTTTGAGAACAAGGAGGTAATCAACCGTCAGAGAAGGCAAACACATTAAATCGGTCCAGAGTAAAAGCCCTTTGATATTTAACTAGCTACAATATAATTCATATTATTTGTAAAACAAGCAGCTAGCTGAAAAGTATCATCATAAGAAATACCTGAGGAACAAGATGAGCAGGTTGCATATATGTATGCAAGTCAAAAGGTCCTGAAAATAAACAGACCGCACATGGTTATTGCTTCACCAAAGCTAATGCAGAGGCAAATCCCAAATGGATAAGGAATGAGGGTTACAGTCCAATGCAACAAATAAAACTTTTTTATTTACATATGCATTTATGTACTTATGTAGTAACTTATTTATTTACAAGCCACAGGGCTTTAATACATTTAATATTTAATACATAAAATAATACAATTGTTAAAGTACACAACAAATCGCTTTAAAAAACCCCTACTAACAGAAGCATCAGCAGCCAGGGCTTTCCTTCTTCAGGCAGGTCTCTCTTCATCTCCTTCTGTTTCATCACTTGATGAAAAAGATTTTTGTTAACTAGCCAATTAACACAATAAAGAAATGGAACTCATTTATACAGAATACAGTAAGTTAAAAATTGTAATTGCTAACTGTACCATACCCGTTTTTCTTTACCTTTTCTCCACTGTTTTGAAAAACCTCCCCCCACTATATATGGGTTGCATTTAAATTTAACAAATAAATAAATAAGAAACGGGAGGCAGCTCTATGTACAAGGACCCCCCCCACACACACATCTGAAAAGGCCCTTTCCTGGGTCCCCACACTTTGTGCCATATACATTTATTGTAACCACTGCAATAGCTATCATTAGGCACCGAAACAATCCTACAACATTTTTTTTTATTTACACAAGCTTACCTTGTGACCCAGTTTTATTTTCTTATATTTTAACTTTTGATTTTATATTGACTTTATATATACCACACTGATTTGGGGTTGCTGTTTTCTTAGTGTTATTGAAAAGTAAGGATAGGTAAGTACCATATTTTTTGCTCTATAAGACTCACTTTTTCCCTCCTGAAAAGTAAGGGGAAATGTGTGTGCGTCTTATGGAGGCTGCGCAGCTATCCCAGAAGCCAGAACAGCAAGTGGGATTGCTGCTTTCACTGCGTAGCAATCTCTCTTGCTGTTCTGACTTCTGAGATTCAGAATATTTTTTTTCTTGTTTTCCTCCTCCAAAAACTAGTTGCGTCTTGTGGTCTGGTGCATCTTATAGAGTGAAAAATACGGTAAATAAAGCCAACCTTCAGGTTGTAATGCTCTTGAAATGCTATGAAAACTAGAATTCTGTTCTAGCTGCAATATAGGCAACTAAATATGTTTTTTACACTTTCAGTTGTAAATATGTTTTCAAGTATTTCTATAGATGTATTATGTAACCACTACATGTGCATAGGTATATGTTTTGCAAAGTCACCCACCCCTCCTTACACTTATGTAATTGCTTGTCCTTATAACTATAGTTGTGAAAATACCCATATTACACTGAATAGGAATGCCTCTTTCTATCATGATTTGATTGCCTAACATTGGGCAGAAACATGTTAATAGGTGTAGACAAAAATAGTCACTAAATCAGTGGTTCTCAAATCAATTCCTTAGGCTCTTGGTGGACCACTTAATTTTTTTCTGCCTGTTGTAGCAATTGTAATGTAATGAGCTAGATCAGGGGTCAGCAAACTTTTGCAGCAGCGGGCCAGTCTACTGTCCCTCAGACCTTGTGGGGGGCCCGGACTATATTTTGAAGGGGAAAAAATGAATGAATTCCTATGCCCCACAAATAACCCAGAGATGCATTTTAAATAAAAGCACACATTCTACTCTAGTAAAAACACCAGGCAAGCCCCACAAATAACCCAGAGATGCATTTTTAATACAGTGGTACCTCGGGTTAAGTACTTAATTCGTTCCGGAGGTCTGTTCTTAACCTGAAACTGTTCTTAACTTGAAGCACCACTTTAGCTAATGTGGCCTCCCGCTGCCGCTGCGCCACCGAAGCACGATTTCTGTTCTCATCCTGAGGTAAAGTTCTTAACCCGAGGTACTATTTCTGGGTTAGTGGAGTCTATAACCTGAAGCGTCTGTAACCTGAAGCATATGTAACCCGAGGTACTACTGTAAAAGGGCACATTCTACTCATGTAAAAACACACTGATTCCTGGACCATCCGCGGGCTGGATTTAGGAGGTGATTGGGCCTGATCTGGCCCCCAGGCCTTAGTTTGCCTACCCATGAGCTAGATAGTATTATTTTTATTGTATTTTTATTGCTTCTTTCGGGCTGGCAGATTTCAAACAGTGAAAATCCAGACAGAAAAGTTGAGCTTTGCCTCTGACTACAGAATGACATATGGCAACCCTATCTTGACTTCTTCTTTTGTATTTTATTGTAGTACAATTTGAATTCCGTAGAATACTATAGAATTCAAATTGGAAGTGTTCTTCACAGACATGCAATGGTTTGTAGACCACTGATGCTCCACAGGCTATAATATGAGAACCCCTGTACTAGGGTTGCCATATTCCCAAAAGTTAAAATCCAGTTTCCCCAGACATTCCACCGATTCAGCAAAAATCCACCCAGATGCCATTTTCTGAGCGATTCCCGGATGTGTCCAGGAAAACCCAGATGTATAGCAGCCCTACCCTGCACCAGATCACAATTTAAATTTGAAATAGGGTACATCTATTACATTCCATAATAATTAAGTTCAGTTCAATTTATTGTGTCTAGTGAATAGCCATTGTACACATGAAAATAATAAGAAGAATATAGCTATGAATAGTAGCTGACATTTGTATTCCCTGACCTTTACAGAATAAATATTTTCTCATTCCCCCTTTAAGTTGTATTACACAAATTTGTAAAGCCTTTGAAATAAATTTGGATGTTCAATAGGATATATACCTCTCCACATCAGACAGCAAAAAACAGGTCTTTGCAAGAGACACTCTTCCCTTCTGCGATCTTAACAATGGATGGATGTAATTGTTTCTAAGATCATTATAAAAAGGGCATTGGAGGAGTACATGAGTTATGTCTTCTATAGACAGAGAGTTGCACGAGCAAACTCTATCCTTCTTAGGAACTCCTTTATGTCGGCCTGTCCAATCTGCTATCGCAAGGGCATTTAGTCTTGCCTGAGTAAAGGCTACTACTCTCATTTTAACATTTGGCAAATCTACCAGATATCTTGGCAGGGATGGATACAATGGAATACAAAAAGCATACAATTTGTTTGATTGGCAGATCTTGATCTCAGCAGTTTGTGATTGCATCTCAGTGTCTTTAAGCCTTTGGAGTATTAATTCTTTAGCTCTCTCAAAACTCTGTGCCACAAGAAGAAGAAGAAGAAGAAGGAGGCAGAGAGTCCCAACCTCATGGCAGCAGACTGCATTTCACGTTTCCATGAGTTTGGGGTCATGTCTTCCAAAAATGTCATGAAGGATTCTGATACATGCTTAAAAATAGTTTTTAACCAAAAAGGCAGAGCTAGACCTTGGCTTTAATGGGCATTACACCCAGTTGTGCATGGAGCTGTGCTATTTTTGTAGAGGTAGGGACTGGCAGTCTGCGCAAAAAAATAATTGCACCCTCTCCAGTGAGTCTAAATTGGTCATGGCCCACAGTGGTGTTCCATATAACAACTTTGGCAACACCCTGGTCTTATAAAGTTCTAAAGTGGGCTGCACCAAGTTGCCCCCTTTTGTATGGTGGAATCATAGTAGTCTATTTAAAGTTCTCCAGCTAATAGGGTACTTGATTGAACCTGTGCAGATCATTTTCCTGTCCACTGAAAGACCACATAGAGATACTTGAATGAGAATACTTGCTCCAGTGTATTTCCATCGAGCGACCAATTGTAAGTTTTCTTAGATTTGCCGAATATCATAACTTTTGTTTTTTGGTAATTTATAGTCAGATGCTCATTCTTGCAGTACAAGCTGAAAAATTAATAATAACAATGTGCTGCAATAAATGACAACTATCATTAAAAATAAGCCTTCCACATTCAGATGAAGTATAGCTTTATTACATTTATATCCTGCTTTTTCTCCAGGTGTCATGCCCCACTCCAGTTTATCTTCACAGCAATCTTGTGAGGTAGGGTCAGGCTAAGGAAGAGTCGCTCAGGGAACTTGAAGCAGAATGGAAATCAGGACCAGGGTCTTCCAAGTCTTAGCGCTCATTCACACGGAAGTTTAATGTGGATTTGAGACGGCTTGTGTCTCTTTTTCATTTATTCATTTAGTTAGCGGTTTCCACAATGACATCATCTTCCACAATGTCACCCAAGTAGCAGCCTGAGCTCCCCCCACCTCTAAATTCAGGTTTTCCTAATCGATGGATAACCCAATAAGGGGAAATATACCTATATATAACATTGCATGTCAACCAACTGTGGACATACTGAAGCACATTGAGAGGATGAGCATTTTTACATGTATGATGACATTTTGCTGGGTGCCATCTATTGCCGCACCCCAACCTGTCTTTTTCTACCGGTGGTTGCTGATTACATGTTCTTGGTAGTTTTGTTTTCAATAACAGCTATTTTGCACAGAACAGCTCTTACACAAATCAGCTGTATTAATAAACAAAAAACAAACAAAAAACTTACCCTATCAGGTACAGGAGATAGGAAAGCAAAAAGGAAAGGAAAGAAATGGCAGTCTGTCATTTGACTCCAAATCTTAGGCCTGGAGGACACACAATTTATTTATTAATTAATTTAACTGTGCAAATCTGGAATATTGGAAAGCTTGTGGTTTTTTTTTAAATATTTATATTTGCAGGCACCCACCAACACCTCAGGGACGCGGGTGGCGCTGTGGGTAAAACCTCAGCGCCTAGGACTTGCCGATCGCATGGTCGGCGGTTTGAATCCCCGCGGTGGGGTGAGCTCCCGTGTTTCCCCCAGCTCCTGCCCACCTAGCAGTTCGAAAGCACCCCTAAGTGCAAGTAGATAAATAGGTACCGCTTTATAGCGGGAAGGTAAACGGTGTTTCCGTGTGCTGCGCTGGTGCCGGCTCGCCAGAGCAGCTTCGTCACGCTGGCCACGTGACCTGGAAGTGTCTCCGGACAGCGCTGGCCCCCAGCCTCTTAAGTGAGATGAGCGCACAACCCTAGAGTAGGTCACGACTGGCCCGTACGGGCAGGGGTACCTTTACCTTTTTACCTTTACCAACACCTCAGGTTTCCTGACTTGAATGCAACATACACACCATTTTAGCTACACTTTTGTGCAAAATTTTTATACTGGAAACTTTATATTTCAATTTTTTTAAAATAGAAAAAAGATGCTGTCCACAATTTTTGTGCAGGTCCACAACTAGACCTCAGGTTTCCCAAACCTGTGGTGGGCAGGGAAGCACTAAGCGAAGGAAGGTGACAACTGCACACAGTTCAAATCCATCCCACCAACTATGGCCCACTAGTGTGGCTGGGAAACAGAGACAGAAATCACCTTCCTTCGCTTAGCGCTTCCCTGCCCACTGCAGGTTTGGGAAACCTGCTTGCACACAAATTGTAGACAGCATCTTTTGTTTTATTTTTAAAAGGCACACAAATGCACGCATGGAAAGAGCAAACAGCACATGCTTTAATTAATGCATCAATAGGAGTATAGCATCTAGATCAAGGGAAGTAATAGTGCCACTGTATTCTGCTCTGGTCAGACCTCACCTGGAGTACTGTGTCCAGTTCTGGGCACCACAGTTCAAGAAGGACACTGACAAACTGGAACGTGTCCAGAGGAGGGCAACCAAAATGGTCAAAGGCCTGGAAACGATGCCTTATGAGGAACGGCTAAGGGAGCTGGGCCTGTTTAGCTTGGAGAAGAGGAGGTTAAGGGGTGATATGATAGCCATGTTCAAATATATAAAAGGATGTCATATAGAGGAGGGAGAAAGGTTGTTTTCTGCTGCTCCAGAGAAGCGGACACGGAGCAATGGATCCAAACTACAAGAAAGAAGATTCCACTTAAACATTAGGAAGAACTTCCTGACAGTAAGAGCTGTTTGACAGTGGAATTTGCTG